ACGGAAATCACCCGTTCCGTTGTGCCTTACGGGCTCTCTTTCGAGCCCAACCTGCAACCACAAATCGGCGCATGATATATGCCGAATGGCATTGCCGACAAAGACAAGGGATATTGGAATGACCATCTCTGGCTGTTAAGTCGTCGTCAGCCAGTCATATCCAACCCCAAAGTGTGGAACACCCGAGGCTCGAGCATGCGCCGCTGTGCGGCTGCTGGTTGGGCTTGAGAGAGAGATTCCCAAGGCATGGCGGGACGAGTGAGTCCCGTAACACGATCGGTGAGCGTCCCTACACCATTGTTAATATACCCGATCGCAACTGACAGGACAACGAGCCCGTGGCACATTGGTTAGGGACGCTTGATTCAACAGGTCAGTGGATCGAGCCTTAAGTGTTCCACACGTTAGGGTTGAGTATGTCTAACTGCTGACGGTTTTTAAGCCAGGAATCGCCATTTCAATCTTCCTTATCTTTGTCGGCGACGCCCATACGACTACTGGCTACTGCGCGGCTGCTGGAGGGGCCGCAGATTGAGTCCTAAGGCAAGGACCAGAACAAGTTTGTCCCGTATACCGATCGGTGGGCAAACCTCCACCAATTCATGATCTGGTAGAAGGCAGTTCCAAGAGTCTCCTCTGCTGAAAACCTCTCCTCTTTGAGGCATTACATCGGGGCCGTTATCCTAATCGAAGGCCAAGTAGATTAGTGGTAGGAGTTCAAACTGGAAACCCCGGTTCATGAGGCGCCGAGTTTTCATAGTTGCGTCAAAATGAATTATTCAAAATCTGCCAAAACACCTATTAATTACGTGAGCCTGGTAGTCATCTAGGAGATTCTAGATTTATTTCTCCGGAAATCCTGCTTGGGCAGTCAGCTTACCGTATTTCTTTGGGTGGACGGCATGCGTTGCAGTAGGCTGGGCGGACAACTTGACCCAAACGGCATTAAACTCACGGTTCGCGGTGGGGTCTCGTAGCTCCGGTGGCAAAAGCTTTGGCATTAATCCGGTCTTTTCCTTGCTGTCGTGGGTTCGAATCCTACTGAAGCGCCGAGCTTTTCACGGTTGGGTCAAAATGAAAAGTGGGCGTCTCAGTTATCGATCGATAGTTGTCATATTATGGCCTTAATATGCTTTGGGCCCACAGTTTCAAGGTTCAACCCTCTGCCGAGTACTTAACTTGGCCTTGCATATCTAGCTTAGAACCATAGTAACTGTATGTAGTTGAATGCCCGTCCGAATAAAACATTAGATACATACATTTTTATAAAGAGTTCCGTTGACTTGCTGCAGTAGGCAAGCTCGAAATAGGTGAGAGAAGTCATGAACAGGTAACCACATTTCATGCTGACCTTGACGAAGCTATGAAATTAAAGAGAGCGCTGACGCAATGCCTAACTGTTTCCGGTTTATTTAGCCCCAGTCATTATCTTGACCACCGTTTAGGATCGGAAAAGCAGACCTACACACATGCGACGCAGATGGTTCTCAGACGGGGTCATATTTACCCACAATGAGCTATTTTGCTTCAGGAAACCAATCGATCGGTGTGCGTCCATCCCTGTGGGAACAAGTACGTTATCTGCATTTACAGAGAATGACGGGCGGCGAGACACCGGTAAATTTCAGTTTTATGAAGGGTAACAATCGGGAGAGGGCACCCAAATATCCGTTGCCTAGACATAATACCTGCTATACCTATTTGAATAGGTTATGGCCCTACATATTTGTTGTTTCATCCGACCCCACTTTTATCTGATCTGTAGTGCACATGTTGCCTCACTTAGATTATCATAGTCTCCTACAGTTGAGATGCGACCGCTGCAGACCGAGCCATGGTTAATCAACCTTGACCTAGGCTTACACGGCTGAAGAGTGACAGCAGTAGTGGGGTTGCGGCTAAATCTACCCTTGCATACCTTAGGAGAGTTGAGAAACGATCGCCGTAGACCCACACTACGTTAAACAACCTTAACATAAGCTTCCACTGCTGACAAGCGACCGCAGTAGTCCCTATGCGGATTAATCTATAGTAGCTTACCTACGGATAATTGCAATACGATCGCCGTTGACCGAACACTTGGATTATCAATTTTTACCATTACTTCCTGAGGTCAGAAGTTACCGCAGTCGCCAGTGTGCGGCTCAGTCAATGGCTGCATAGCTTAGGACAATTGCGATAAGATCGCTGCGTTGGCTGGCAGTATTTTTTGGGTGCCCTCTCCCGATTGTTACCTTATGAAGTGCTTAGGACCTTTCGGATTGATCCCGTCTGGGGACCATCTGAGCTGTGCACATGCACGCGTTCGTGTTTCTAGTGGTTGGGATTATGATCGACTGAATAAGGATAGAATAAATCCCAAACAGTTTTCTATCAGAGGACGAGGTGGCAAGCATACGTAGCTTTTGATAAATTCTCGTCGGGCCGGTACAGTTATATAGGAACGGGGTAGAACTAAAACATGTTAGCGATACGAGAAATCGATAAAAGTTCTCCTTAAAACTCAGGCGGGGTGTTGGAATGCCAGGGGCGGGGTGAGAGCGGAAGAGCGCGGAGAGTTGCAACGTTAGTCGACCTTCGACCAGTGTAGGCGCGGAGCCTGAACGTGGTTCTTTTGTGCGCATAAGACTGGCTTTCATACGACGAGAATTTATCGAAAGCTACGTATGTTCGCCACCTCATCTTCTGATTACTGCTATGGGGATTTTCGCAACTCTAAAACAGTCCAATTTTTTTTTATCAATCTACTCATATTGTTGGTTTCGTGCCTTCTGCAATCTAACCAATAAGTGTGTAGAGTTCCTCAGTGAATGCGTCAAGCACACCTGCCAGCACTGATGAACAGGCATGGCCTTAGAACGGCCTCCAAACAAATCCCCGCGTGCCAGTCCGTGAAGTTCAAGTTTATGGTGGTGTGAGTGTCTGTATTTACTCTCTCTCTCGAGGTACCTGTTGACTCCTCCGCCCCGAACGATTAATTGACCTCACGCCGCCAATCTAGCGACACCCGGATGATAAACGGTAGTCCACACCCTGCATCACACAAACCCTCCGGTCCAGTCACCAAGCAAAACAGCGCACCCACTTTGGCGTTCCAATTCAGGAGCCTTGACTGAGTGCAATAACAGAGAAAAAATAATTCCACATCAATCGCAAGTTGCTCCTAATACGAGTCACGATTACCTTCAGCAAGCGGTGGGCAGCAAACTCTTACCTCCTCCTCCTCCTCCTCCTCCTCCTCCTCCTCCTCCTCCTTCTCCTACCTACCCCAATGCATCCTCCTTCCCCTCCCTATTCTTCTTCTTCCCCACCTCTACTGACTGCACACGAGCAGTATCGCACTTGCGGGAGTAAATCCATCGGAAAAGACCTTTTAAGGCAGGGCCCGAAATTTTATATGAATATTGGAGCTGAAATCCATCAACAACAGCGGAATAACCGCGTAATGCTCACAAACCGCCAACAGGCAGCCAGTAAAAGATCGGCGTAACACGCGTGTCTGGGCTTTTAGCTTCTACCTATGTTGTCAGTACGATAAATAATTACACAATTCTGTATGATTTCTGCAATGGGCTATATCCTCCCACCTGAAAATGGATCGTTATGCGACTGCCTATAGAGCCTCCAAAAGAAGGTGCAACGGAATGAGCTTGTAAGATAAACTGATCGTTGAGAGAATAAATGAAGAAAGAGAAGGAATCGATGTAGTGTACAGTACAGTGCGTGACCTATCTCATGAAATGTTGGCTGAAATTATGAAATGCGTTTTCGATTAGGAAAGATTACTTGGTCGCGGTTGTGATACTGATTATCATAAGGCATACTCTTATAACATTTTAGACTTGGCAGGATGTCGGCTTTAAAATGCACTTCTTTTGAATCTCCTGTAGAAAGCGTGCTCGGTAAAAAAAATGACTACTTAAGTAGCATACATTTTTTCCCATTGATTTTCGATGGTCTTGGAAATTCAAATATATTTTATAGAAACCATATACAAAAATGTGCTTTCTTTCAGTCAGTCAATAGAGAAGCACGTCTTCTTTATATTTTATACTTAATGAAGGAGTATAATTAGGTTTTTAAAAAGTTTCTAATTATGAGACTTTTTAAGATCGCGATATGTCCATTCCATAGCATCGTACCTGGCCGTTTACCACTGCTCCTCATGAAATGTACAAGATGGTCCGCATCCATTGCAAAATTTTATGAACCCTGTATGATATCTCTTTAATGACATAGAAAAATATGGGATTTTCTTTACGCGGAACGCATGCACCTTGTAGAGTGTAATTACTAAGCGCTAATGCAACGAATGATCAGGCTCCAAATTATTCGGCAATTAGAAAACTTTTTAAAAACCTAATTACACTCCTTCATTAAGCATAAAATATAAAGAAGACGTGCTTCTCTATTGACTGACTGAAAGAAAGCACATTTTTGTATATGGTTTCTATAAAATATATTTGAATTTCCAAGACCATCGAAAATCAATGGGAAAAAATGTATGCTACTTAAGTAGTCATTTTTTTACCGAGCACGCTTTCTACAGGAGATTCAAAAGAAGTGCATTTTAAAGCCGACATCCTGCCGAGTCTAAAATGTTATAAGAGTATGCCTTATGATAATCAGTATCACAACCGCGACCAAGTAATCTTTCCTAATCGAAAACGCATTTCATAATTTCAGCCAACATTTCATGAGATAGGTCACGCACTGTACGTGGAGGCCCGAAGTTCTGCTAAATGTTTTCTGGCAAGAAACGAGAACAGAAAGCCTCCCATCCGGTGGCATTGTGCTAAATTCCAGGAAGGTTTCCTGCATCCTAACTCTAACTCTGGCGCTATGGTGTGTGGTTCATATTCACATGTCTTTCCATTTTTTAGAGTTGCTTTGCGGTGTGTGTCTGACAATCCTTTATGACTCTCTCGACAGCTTCTTAGTCTGACAGGAGAATCCCTTACGGTATTCGTGTCCGCAAGTGCGACACTTTCCGTGTGCAGTCAGCAAAGGTAAAGAAGAAAAAGAAGAAGAAGAATGGGGAGGGGAAGGAAGATGAGTAGGAGTAGGAGTAGGAGTAGGAGGAGGATGAGGAGGAGGAGGAGGAGGAGGAGGAGGGGGAGGAGGAGGAGGAGGAGGAGGAGGAGGAGGTAAGTGTTTGCCGCTCGAGGCCCTTGATCGTTCACTGTATGATTTGCGTGGAAACACCAGGCCATTTGAAGACGCAGTGGTACTGCTTGCAGGAGACTTCAAGCAAGCATTGCCTGTACTTCCTCGATGCACACCAGCGGACGAAATAAATCCCTGCCTGAAATACTCTTTTTTGTCGCGCAACGTCTAGACGTTAAAATTAACTACAAATATGCGTGTTCCAGCTGTAAGACGACCGAACAGCTGAGATATTCTCCCACCAACTGCTGGCAATTGGGAACGGAACGGTACTTGTTGATCCACTTTCACGACGCACTTCAATACTTCTTACCTTCGGCAGTTTAGTGTCGTCAAATGAAGAATTGGTTGAAAAGGCGTTTTCCAGTCTTCAAAATACTTATACCAGTCACGATTGACTGAGCGAACGAGCTGTTCTTGCGGCCAAAAACAATGATGTCTACCGACTTAACCATATAAGTCAGTCTAGGCTTCAAAGCGAGGCAGTCCTGTACACATCCGTCGACACTGCCTGCTGTGGAAGCAGACAAGGCAGTTAATCATCTCACAGGATTTCTGAATTCATTTGATATCCCAGGCATGCCGCCGCACGTACTGCAACCGAAAATCGGCGTGCCAATTATAATGTTGCGTAATATCAATCAGCCAACGTTTTGCAGCGACATGCGGCTTGCAGTAAAGACAATAATTAGCAACGTCGTGGAAGCAACTATCCTGACTGCATCATTTCCCCATTCCTCGCATTCCATTGATTCCAAATTATATGCCATTTCAATTTGGGAGACGGCAATTCCCTATTCACTTGGCGTTTGAAATCACCATCAACTAAGCTCCGAGCAAATTCTCAGAATTGTGCGGTTGGGATCTGCAAACGTATTGTTTCTCACACGACCAGTTATATGTTGCGTGCTCTAGAGTCGGTAATCCAGACAATCTCTATGTCTGCCCAGACAGCGCAACGACAAAAATGTTGTAAAGCTACAAGCATTACGAAATTAAACATATTAGAAACGCGCCGCAATCCTCTTTTCTTCCTTTTCCACTTCACCACACTGAGCCACAGCATCGCGTGGCCGGGCTCAGCAAGTCTGCAATTAAGTTAAGAAATTGTCGACTCCGCGAATTTGGTTGACCATGTACTTAGAAATAACGACTTCCCTTCAATGTGGCACCGACTTAATGACCCCCTTACAACAAAGAGCTGCCTTCTGGACACAAAGGAAAATAGCCTTTTTCTCGGGGGCATTTTTGTAAGACCCACCCGTATACTTGCCTTATCGTGGGCGAAAGATCTTTTCTCCTCGAAAACTAACGAAATCAGATTCATTTTGGCTTTTTTACAAAAATTGAAGTTTGTTTACTACTTGTTGAACGTTTTTCATGTCGGACTGCCCGTATTTAGGGTTAAACTGAACACAGTAGATTGTTTGCCTACTCGTCCTGAAATTCGATTAAAAGTTCATTTTTGCTAAACGTTTAAATACCCTCGTGTGTGTGCCAAATACTACATTCGTCAAATCAACTTATTATTATCGTCAAAGACCTCATCATCCTCGATCCCGCGACCTGTTAACCAGGAATCCAACACCTCTAAACACTGAGCTCCAGGTGTTCCACACTTCGGGGCTGGGTATGACTGATTGACGACGGCTAATAAGCTAGAAATGGCCATTCCAGTCTCCCTTTTCTTTGTCGGGAATGCCACTCTGTCTATATAATGCGCCGCTGTGCGGCTGCTGGTTGAGCTCGAGAGAGAGCCCGTAAGGCGCAACGGACGAGCGAGTTCCGTAGAAACGATCTGTGAACGCTCCTCTACTAACTTATTATTATTGGTAAATACCTGATCATCCTCGAAAATATGCAAAGTCGTGTGGCCAAACTCACTAGTTGGCAGGACAAACTACCCAACAAAACAAAGTTATCTAATCTGTGTAACTTTCCTCTAGCTTACAAACAATTAAAAGCGGGCTGATACAAAAATTCTTTATCATGCGAGGCCTGGACTGCTGTCTCTTACCTGGAGGCTTCTTTGATTTAGCAACCACAACGGACCTCCGAAGTCATCCACCCAAACTACGTACACCTGGCGCCAAAGCTGTCCTTCTCTAACAAAGTGGATGAAGATTGGGATGCCCTGTCTGTAGACATCTTTATTTCCATATGCGTCAAAGCTTTTAAACGAAAGCCGGACCAGTATACCATTCCCGTGAAAAACATAACAGGTACAGTACATGTGCTATTTCATGGAACGTTTCCCGAAATTACAAAATCCGTCCCCTCTTCGAAAAGATTGCTTAAGTAGGATAAAAATGTTAATTATCGTGCAGCATAAGACGAAGATTTTCCAGTTTCTAATTGTGAGATTTTTTTGAAGAACGTGAAGCGTCCATTCATATTGCACCGTATCAGCACGTTAATTAATGCTACTTACAAAGTATACACCCTGGTCAAATTCTTTTGCACAATGTTATGAATGCTATAAGACGTCTTTCTAGCATCGTAGACAAACATATGATATTTCTTTGACGGAATGGTATAGAATGTAGCATGAAAACGCTGAATTCAAGTTTAACGGCAAGTGTAACAAAAGATCATTTAAGAATTGAAAAGTTTTAAAAAAGCCAAAAGATATGCTATCTTCAAGCATGAAATTTTAAGAAGACCTAATTTGCAACCAAATAAATATAAGAGAGAATATATTTTGCTTGTGTTTTACATAATCCATCTGAATTTATTACGACACATAAAATCATTTAGAAAAATTCATACTGCATAAGTTGCCATTTTTATAAAACGGCCGAAAAGAAGCTCACCCAAGAACCAGAATCCTGACATGACTGAAATATCTTAGATTAAATTTTTCAGTACTACTTCATTAGTCTCTTCGAATCGAAAAATAATTTTAGAATTTCGAGTAACGTTTTATGCGAAGTCACATATGCTATGATTTTGTTTGTAATTTCGTGACATGCATAGCACCTGCCACAAATTTAAATGTCCCAGCCCAGTTGAGGCGAAGAGGTATTCATCCCAACTTAAATTATCAGAAAAAGTTCTCCTTTAGCAATGTTAGTAAACAACAGACTGTGGGCCTCCTGGTGCAATAAGCTCAACTGTAGGGCTGACTGACCTCGTCCTATCTGGTTACCCAAAACCTCGATGAGATATCGTAAAACTTACACTTTGAAGTCTTGAGCCCTGCCTTAGGAATGGACCGACCTCATGAGACCTAAAATTAGCCCCCGGCTTATACCAAGCGGATAAGACTATCAGGCGTCTTACTCTTGGGAAAACGTTGCGGAGACTAAATACACCACACTGAATACGCGAATTAGAAAGTTTTGAAATCTGGAACAACGCAGCGGTCTTGATATCTTTTGGCAGCTCCGCCAGCACACATTAAGTGTAAGTAGTGTAAAAGTGAATAAGAAGACTTGTCGAGCAACGGGCAGTCTGTTTTTTGTTCTGAACTTTCGAAATCGTGAAGGAGCTCGTCGTCGGAGCTAGTAGCAGCTACAGAACGATTATTACAAGTCGCCTTAGCCAATCATTGATGGATGGCGCATGACTGGAGCTGACTGCCAAGGGGTCTGCACGCAGGCGCCAGATCGATAAATCGATTGAATAAGTTCTCATCCGAGCCCCAGGCTTCAATCAGTTCTCTGCTTGTTTTCTTTCCGGCATAGGCGATTATTTTGGTGGTTGCGAAGTTAAACTCATGACCCGTTTCGTGCTTGTGGGCAGCCTTTCGTGATAATTCGTCGCTTCGTCACACAGCCAGTTTAGGTTCGCGTATGCGCGATCCGAATATGCGTTTAGTCTGATCTGTATAGTTACAAGGCCACCTTTGACACAGCATTCGATGCAGTGCTCCATATTGCTCCCCTAAATGTAGACGGTCTTTAATTTTCATAATCCTGCTACGCATGGTGACTTTGGGCCGGTCTGCAGTTCCACACTAGGTTCCTCAGCAATGCTCTCTGTGGCTTCTGAAACGTCCTAAACGTATGCCAGGGAATACAATATCGTTAGTGATATTTATGTTTGGGTCTTCTGAGGGCGATCACGTAGGCGGCGAACGATGATCGATTAGCGCGCCCTATAACTGTTGATCGTTTTGTTGTCGCTACTATCCCTGACGATGGACCCTGCACAAATTTGAATGCTCAGAACAACAAACAGACGGATCCGGTGCTCGACCAATCTTCTTCACCTGGAATTCGGACTTTTGCCTCCATTAGTAAGTAGTGTCTCAGGACACGTGAAAACAGACGTGTTGGATGTGCCTGTAAATGTCTGTAAATACTCCTAGCATGTTTGCTTCTCCTTTCAGGTCAAAAAGGTCTGAAGCGTGTGCTATGTCAGTATCAGCAAACCATGGCCCTTGCAGTCTGGTATGCGCTGGCAGCTTCCCTGACACCTGGTTCCCTGCCGGTAGATGCGCTTGCGCTCCCGCTGGGTATACAGGTGGTGGGCGTAGGTTTCCGGTCATCATCGTCCTTCTGACCCCTGTTGGAGGTGTTGTTGTTGGTGGTGGATAAAAATCCTGGCAAATTATATGTTGCGGACCAGAGGGTGTGGAGTGGAGCGCCAAGGTGCGGGCTCGACCGTGTCGTCCACCTGCGCCCTTCCCCCACCTCCGGTCTTCTTGACTCTGTCTTGACATGGGATCCAAGTCGAGGAGGAGAGAGTGCGGCAGATGCATCTCAAGCCTGCTATCACTATAAAATAATTCACGCGCAAGTCACCGTCCCTGCCCTTACCTTGCTGTGTATCACACGGTGAACCTCGTCGGGACCGGCGGTCGAACCGTCGTATGACGGAATTCTTTAGCTCTTGGCATCGCGCGCATTTACATGTCCGTGTGTCCAAAAGAAGACTAGTAGCGTTCGACGAGAACGTCTGGGTCACGCACAAAATGCACCCCAGAGAAGGGCTCTTTGTTGTAAAAGGATCACTAGATCGGCGCCAAATGGAAGGGAAGTCGTCAATTTTAAATACATGGTCAGCCCAATCACGAATTCAGCAATTTTGCAACTTTGAGTTT